ATGTGATACACACACACACGCACTAATATATATTCAATAAAATATTATTCATCCTCAAAATGGAAGAAAAGACTGTCATTTGTGACAATATGGATGAAATTGAGGGTATTATGCTAAGTGAAATAAATCAGACAGAAAAAGACAAATATTGTTTGATTGCACTTATATGTTGAACCTAAAAAAAATGAAACTCACTGAAACAGAGAGTAGATTGGCAGTTGGTTGCCTGGGGCAGAGAGTTGTGTGTGTGGGATAACAGGGAGGGTGGTCAAAAGGTACAAACTTTCAGGCATAAGATTAATATAAGATATATTTTGAGGATCTTCCGTACAGCATGGTGACTGTAGTTCACAATACTGTATTGTATACTTGAAAGTTGCTAGAGAGTAGATCTTAAAAGGTCTCACTCCAAAAATATGGCAACCACGTGAGTAATGGCTGTGAAATAACCTGAGTGTAGTAAACATTTTGCAATACAGCTGTGTATCGAATCGTCACTTTATACCTTACACACTGTTATATGTCGGTTATATTTCATTAAAGCTGGGGAGGGGCACCGTCTTTGGAAAATACAGTGAGGGTTGTCTGAAATTTTTGTAGAAAGTAATACACACATTTGAACGTTGAGTAGGTGTTTACTCTTTGTTTAGCCATTTATACTGCTAAAGGATCTTTGTGCTGCATGAAAACCTGTCCTGGCTGCGTAAAAATAGGAAGACAGTCAAGCAAAGATTTATTGAAAACACACTGGAGTTGGTTTCAGAGTCAAAGTGCTTGGGAAGGACCGGGCTCAGGACAGCGCTTGAGCCTCTGTAGCAGAAGCACGTCGTCTCTCCCTCCAGACTATAGCTCTGCCGTAGCTGTCTTCATGCTCTGAGTTCAGGCCGGTCTTCCCGGGCATGTGAAACAATTCTGGGAGAATCTCCCTGGCTCAGCTGGGTCTGGTCGTACAATGGTCTGATCCTCTATGACAAACTGGCAATAACAACAGCAGCTGCCGAGGAGCCACCTCTGTGTAATGAGGTGACAGAAGCAGTAACGGGGTGCACTCGACTTTCCAACCACACTTCCTACCGGACACTCCGCTCTTCCAGGAGAATAGTAAAGCCTCTGTGGTCAGGTATAACGTTGTTAAATTTTTTTTTTCATCAGTGTTTTGTTGACTAGCCCAGGAGAGTGGGCTCTAATATTTTTGAAGGACTTTCTAGAAAAAGGACATATGAAACTTTCATCCCTGAGTCTTCATTCCTTTTTTGAGACTAAGAAGGTATTCTTTGGAGTCAGATGAAAATCATCTTTTTAGCATTTACTGATCCTGCGACTTTGGTCTCATTACTTCATCTGGGCTTTTGTTTCCTTATTTTGAACCATTCCTTGGTTATTCCTGCTGATAATAATTCTTACGTACGTATTTCTTTTTTGCCGCACTAACACCTTTAAATTTGCCCAGGAAATATTAGTACCACCAATAAGAATCTTCTCAATGATCTACGAGAGGTGACCCTTGAGAGGACACAGGTGTTCTGACTCCTAGAAGCAAAAATGCAAAGGCAGGGTGTTGATAATAAGATGCATCTGGTTGAAGCCAGGGCCTGAGTCCTGAGAACTGGCTGGGAGGTGCTTTGAGGCCTCTGTCCTGAAGGACATGGGAAGCAGAAGAACTGGAAGAGCAGGACCTGGCTGCCCTTGGATCATTCTCATGCCATGTGGGTGTGTCCTTAGAAACACAAAGCAGAGAGAGGGAAACAGTTACCAGCTAGGGAGGGCTTAATAGTCAAGGAAATGCAAAGATGTTTTCTTCGTTTCTTTCAGTCTATGCCTCTGCAATTTAGAATGTAAAATGATCTATAGTGAAATCAGGTATAAGGACACATTTGAGGATTTAGGCAACCAAAACAAATGCAATAATGCAAGTTACACAGGGCAAGAATGAGTCACAGTGTAGAGGGGAATGCACGTAGGTTCATCATAGACACATGGAGTCATCAGTACACTATGAGTTTCCAGATAGAGAGGAAAAAAAGAAACAGATCAAGTTGCATACATATTATAATCAGAAAGGAAGAGGCGATCCTTAGGGAAGGTGATTTTTTCCCCCTCAAAATCCTAAAATTCAAAATTTTTTTCCTGTAAGATTTCATAGAGTGGATTTTGAGTGATGCCACGCCCAACTGCAGTTTTGCTCATCAATTGTTTGTGAATTACGTATAAAATATATTTTGTCCCAGGCATGACTTAGGCTTATTATTATTATTATTATTATGTTTTATTATTGATTTTAGGGAGAGAGGAAGGGTGAGGGAGAGAGAGATGGAAACATTGATTAGAAATAACATCGATTGGCTGCCTCCAGCATGCCCTCCACTGGGGATCGGGCCCACAACCAGGGCATGTGCCCTGATCAGGAATTGAACCGGCGTCCTCTTGTGCATGGATCGATATTCAACCACTGAGCCACACTGGCTGGGTCTAAGGCACTTTTATACATAACTATCATTTCTCTCCACAGTCCTGCCATACACTGCACTAAGTGATAGACTAGACTCTCGACTCTTCGATGGCAAGGCCACGTTACTCATCTGGTAGCGCTGGCAGAATCAGATACACAGTAGGCATGAATTAAATAAGCATTAAAGAATGTACAAGAAAGGGTGGAGGTTGTAGGAGAAAGATGCCTCTATCTATCTATCTATCTATCTATCTATCTATCTATCTATCTATCTACCTACCTACCTACCTACCTATCTACCTTAATTTAAGGAAAAAAACCTAGCACTTTGGCCAAATATCTTATACTGGAGAAAATCACTTCTGGAAATCACTGGCTTTTGACGTGATGACTTGCTTTGGATTAGTGAGGCAAGTATCATACAAATGAAACTGTTAAAGCTAGTTATGAAATGCACAGTCTAATGGTTTAAAGAGATACACCTTATCAAACCATCCAACATTCAATCTCTGCTCCAGAGTTTCTTCTCTCAGGCCCCAGTTTTTTCCATCCCTAGATTGAGCCCTTCCTCCTTGCCTATTAGGGTCCATGGTTTCATGAATCTACTCAAAGGTTTTTAGGTGTAGGTAAAAAGAAATTCTGGCATTAAGATCCAGAACAGCCCTTCCAGTGTGGCTCAGTGGATTGATCATTGTTCCATGGACTGAGATGTCCTGGTTCAGTTCCCGGTCAGACCACATGCCAGTAGGGGGCGTGCAGGAGGCAGCTGGTGGATGTTTCTCTCTCATATCACTGTTTCTAGTTCTCTCTCCCTTCCTCTGTCTCTAAAAACAAACAAACAAACAAAAAAACTCAATACATTTAATAAAAACATATTAAAAAAAAAGATCTGGAACAATTAAGTCCCTCACATTTTTAATATTCACAAGGAGGAAAAGGAGGCTCAAGGATAGTTACTTCCCCAGGGTCACATAACCTGTAAGGAGCCAAGATAGCCCTGGCCGGTTTGGCTCAGCGGTTAGAGCGTTGGCCTGCGGTCCGGAGAGGCCCGGGTTTGGTTCCCGCTAAGGGCATGTACCTTGGTTGCAGTTTGTCCCTGGCCCTGGTTGGGTCGTGTGGGTGGCAACCACTCGATGTGTCCCTTTCACGTCGATGTTTCTCTCTCTCTCTCTCCCTCTCCCTCTATCTGAACAAAATATCGAAAAATGTCCTCGGGTGAGGATAAAAAAAAAAAAAAAACCTAAAAAAAAAAAAAAGGAGCCAAGATAGAAGTTAGATGAAGCAATTATCATACAAATAAAACTTTTAAAGCTTGTTATTAAATGCACAGTCAGCAGGGTTTAAAAAGATACACCTTGCCCTGGCCGGTTTGGCTCAGTGGTTGGAGCGTCGGCCTGCGGTACAGAGAGACCTGGGTTCGGTTCTCGCTACGGGCATGTACCTCGGTTGCAGTTTGTCCCCGGCCCTGGTTGGTCGTGCAGTTGGCAGCCACTCGATGTGTCCCTTCACATCGATGTTTCTCTCTCTCTCTCTTCCTCTCTCTCCCTCCCGCTCTATCTGAACAAAAAATGGAAAAATGTCCTCGGGTGAAGATTAAAAAAAAAAAATATATATATATATATATATTATCAAACCATCCAAAATTCAATCTCTGCTCCAGAGGTTTCCTCCTCTCAGGCCAGTTTTTTCAGGAGAGTTTGCTTCTCCTCTCCACCTTTTGCTCTTCCTAATTCCTTCATGTTCTCTGCCTACTGGACTGGCTCATGCCCTGAACCTCTAGGAAGGCACTCCAAAGATTTGTCTGCTGGGTTCCATCCATTAGAACAAAAATCTATCTGAACAAAAAATGGAAAAATGTCCTCGGGCGAGGATTAAAAAAAAATAAAAATAAAAAAAAAATAAAATAAAATAAAGGCTGAAACAGAGTAAGGACTCACTTCATGCTAGATACTGATGTAAGTACTTTCCCAGGTCTGTATTTCTGTTTTTATATTTTACTATCCATTTCAGGAGAGAACTGGATAAGAAAACACAGCAAATATTTCTGAGCCCTCAAACCATATTGCTTGTATGTAAATCTGAGTGTATGGGATTAGAGAGATTGCTAGTCCTTCCTTCTGGAATTAGGTTCAGCAAATCTTACTCTTCTTGTGAGTGATTAATGGCATAATTACACGGGCCCTTAGATTTCAGTGCATGTAATCCCGTCATTTTCTAGGCTGGATGTGCAAAAACCAAGTTCCCATCTAGCAAGGTTGTGACAGGAACCAGTTCTCCGAACTCCTAGCACTTACTAGTTGACCTTACAATTGTGCCTCCTCCCTTAATCCTTATGTCATGATCATCTTTAAGATGATTAAAAAAATCTATTTAAAATTAATCTCTATAAACTCCAACAAGAACAAAGCAAAAACAAACAAAATACACTTTTTCTGTTTATAGGTAGGCATGGGTGTTCAAATGCATGAAATAAAACCAGACAGACTCTCTTTTCTTTGCCCCATATACTATTACTTAAGTTGTAAATTGTAAATTAAAATCACCTGGGATGTCACTTTGATGAATGTTCTCGTTTATCATCAAATTCCATAAATCCTCTTGAAAAGAAAATAAAGAGAAAAAAAATGAATTATAATTTAGACTGAAGAGAAACTTTAGAAGTAGCACTAGGGTGTCATAATATTTTAGCTACACCTTTTCCAGATTTTCCTATATCAGAAAGAAATAAGATCTAAAATGTCAATAATAGTTCATAGTTGAAAAGCCATTTGTGAATAATTATCTCTTTATATATACAATCACATTTATTAATTAGGTGTCTATTCATACATATACTCCATGTATACATATATTTTGATATATTTGTTCAGTACCCTATCCCCCGTACTTAAAACAATGCCTGCCATATAGTATACATTAATAAATATTTAATGACAACAAGGAATGGTTTTTTAATCTCTTTTTACATATGAAAAAACAAATAGACAAACAAACAAACTCTGAAGCTCAAAGAAATTAAACAACCTGTCCAAGTTGTGTGGCTGATAAAGGACAAAGCCAGGTCTAAAATCAGATTTCCAGAATCATGAGTTAATGTCAGAATCACTCTAGTCCACTGTTCAAGGATTGGATAGCAGATAGCTGCTGAGAAGGTGACAGATGACTTAAATGTGGTCTGTGAGGAGGTTATAGCCTAGTGGAGAAATGCATTGGAATACAAGTAATTTAAAATGAGGAGGGAGGAAACTGTTAGGAAGGTCTCTGCAATGCATAATAAAATCCCAGAATACGAAATACCTGAGTTTTTAAATTGTAGAAGTCTGGAGCATCTCCAGAGAACTTGTCTTTGAATTGGACTCTAGAAATGATTACATTTGTCAGGTGAAGAGCATGGAGTTGGGGTTTGGGGGCCCAGCATTGCTGGCAGAGAGATAAGCATGTGCAAAGATGTTGGCAGTTTATACAAACGCAACCTGCTGTGAAACAGAAATCATTTGTCATTGGGGCATCAGGGGCTTGCCTCCAGGAGCAAGAGAGATGACTGAAAACTATATTAGCATCAGGGAAGGACCTTTAACACCGGCTGAATGTATTTGCTCTGATTTTCTAGGCAAAGGGAATTCATGGGCGGGGTTTAAACATGGCAGTGATAGAGCCACATATGTGTTTTTGTTATATCACCCTGGTAGTTCGTAGAGAATGGACTGGAGCGAGTATAGACAGAAACAGTGAAACGAATTGCAGATCTAATTAAAAGATTTCAGGAAAGAGATGATGAAAGACTCGACTAAGCCAACAACTCAGAGCAGTGTAAGGAAAGGCATGGTGTGGGGAACAAAGTCAGGGGTAGAATATTCAGAATTGGACGAAACTGGTGATGAGCAGGAAGCATCCCAGAAGACCCTGAGGGTTCTGGATTTTGGGTGAGAGGGGATGTGACTTACTGAGAGAAGAAACACGGGAGGAGGAACAGGTACATTAAGTGAGATGATGGGCTTGCATTTAGATAAGTTGAATTTGAGGTGCTGATGGAAAACCTAGGTGGGGTTTTGTAGCAAACAATTAGTTTGGTCTGTAGATTAGGAAAAAAAAGTGCAATAGGGTCTGAGTTTGGAACTCATTAAATTATAAGTCATATTCCCAATGGAGAAGCTGTGATGTGAAGCATCAGGCAGGTCACATTTGGAACCTTGAGGAGCAATGATGTTTAAGGGGCAGACACCTGAAGAAAAGTCAAATAAAGACAATGGGAAAGAATAGCTACAGGTAAGAAGAGAACCAGGAAAAGGTGTCATGGAAACCCAGGGGACAGAGGGAAGTTCCCAAGAATTGAAGGCTCCAAGGCGACCAGGGACCAGTTTACATAGCTCTCAGGTAACTCAGCAGGCAGGTGGGGGGAGCAGGTGGGGGGAGCGAGCTGGTCTATTCACTGTCCTAAAAGCACATATCTAGCATTTATTATGTGCCTGACACAATGCGCAGGCATCAGACACACTGGAGTAAATAAAGCAGAATTTTCACTTTATGAAGGTTCATCATTCCTGTCATTCTGTCTAATCAACTCTCTTTGAGACCTTTAAGGCCCAACCTGCATCTCACCTTTACCACAAACATCCCCCGAAGCACCCTGGCCCCAGGGACAGCTCCTTTCTCCGGATATTGCCTGTAAGATGTGGCTGACATGTATCTTATTTAGCATTTTAATAATAATTGCAGTTGTTCATGTCATCTTACCATAAAACTGCAAATTCTTTGAGGAGAAGAGATTTATGGTCTAGATTTTCCCTTCACAATCCCTGCCCCTACTTTGTACGTATTAAGTGCTTAGAAATACTTCTTGATGGTCTCTTCCCATCCCTGTCCCCCATCATATCTAAGGGCTTCCCTTGGACAGAGGGCGAGATGCCATGCCATAGCAATGAGCTAGATAGATCTGATCCCTACTTTCACATTAACAATATTTCATATTTTATATTAAAAATGGAGGAATTATTGGCAATGGTGATGCATGTTATCATGACACTATGACAAGGTAAAGTGACGAAGAATAACTGGGGAATGAAAGAAGACGGCGTTACTAAGAATGGTTATAGAGTAGCTTTCTGAGGAGGTGACTTTTAGATGAGCTTCTGGACAAAGAACTAGCCATGAGAAAAGGAAAGAGCATTTTAGGCAGAAACGAAAGCAAAGACAGAGGGCCCGGAATGTGTGTAAGTCCCAGGAACAGAAAGAACATCATTTACTCAGAATAAAATGAAAGACAAAGAATGGCAGAGATATGGGGCCATTTCTGTCCCCAGGGCTGTCTGCCATCCTTTAGTATTTCAGATTGTCAACTTTCAGGGTTGACAGAGGGGGGGAAATGCTATTTTATATCTAGGGAATTCCCTATGGGGAGAATAAAAAGAACTGTTATTGTCCCAACCACTTTCATTGCTATTATTGTAATTTATAACCAACCGAGTTCTAATCTGTACTTTGTCCAGAATGGGTGTAACCCTTATTGCTTGCGTGTCAGTTTTACAGTGTCTGCCCTTGCTTAACATTAACAATCATGGAGACGCAGCAGTTACAAAAGCAGCTGCGAAAGAAAAAATAACAATACAAAATAAACATCTGTAAATTTCAGCGTGCATTCATGGGGATTGTATGCAGAACCCTGCCCGTCTACAGGATAATATATTGATTTTAGCAGATCGGAGATTACAAGATGACCCCGGATTACTTCACTACAGCAGTGGCTCTTAATCTGCTATTGGTCACAGACCCCTTTCAGAAGCTAATAAAAGTTAGGAGCAATTTTCCTAGAAAAATGCAAAGAGTCACATTTATACAAAATATGTTAATAAAAATATAAATATATTTTATATTTATTTTTTATAATATAAAAATATATTAATAAAAATATAAAGGTTCTGGGGCTCTTTAACACCCAGCCATATAACCCAGAACATCTAACCAAGGGCTTTCAAAATCTATCGTACATCAGAATTGCCTGGAATCTTGTTTTGTTTTTGTTTTTTTTAATCCTCACCCGAGGACATTTTTCCATTTTTTTGTTCAGATAGAGTGGGAGGGAGAGAGAGGAAGAGAGAGAGAGAGAGAAACATCGATGTGAAAGGGACACATCCATCAAGTGGTTGCCACCCGCATGACCCAACCAGGGCCGGGGACAAACTGCAACCGAGGTACATGCCCCTAGCGGGAACCAAACCCGGATCTCTCTGGACCGCAGGCCGACGCTCTAACCACTGAGCAAAACTGGCCAGGGCTGGAAGCTTGTTAGAGAGCGTGGCCTTGACCTTGTCACAGGAAGGTGCAAGACGGAATGAAGGAAATGCATTTGGTATCAGCTCTGCAGGGAGTCCTGAAGCAGCTGGTAATCGATCAGGTTTCCAAACTCTGCTTTGGGGTTTGTGAAGGGGAGAATTGGAGAGCAGCGGCTCAGAGAGGTGGAGGTTGAAAGTACCTAGAAATTCAGAATGAGTTGGATCCTGGAGAGCTGACACTGGGGAGACGAATCTGGGGAGAACGAACAGGGTGAAGCAGAAGTAAAAGTCAGAGCTGTGTAGACCGGAGCAGGATGTATGAGGAATTGTGCCCAGGGCCTTGGAAGCAGGGTGAGCACATTGGAAAGATTCTGAGGTGTGTGACCTGCCACCAGGGCAGTCCCTCACGATCAAAACAAACCCTCCTATAGATGGTCTCTGAGGAGAGATTAGCCACTGCCTCTAACCCTTTGAGTTACTCGAACTAGCAAATAAAGACAAGACTCATCACGAGTATAATTATTGAGCACGCCATTATCCTCCGCCTTTACCAAAGAATTACAGTGTCTGCCCGGGGTGGGTCCTTTATTCTTTAACTTTACAGAGAAGCAAACTGAGGCACACAGAGAGGGACTCAGTGAAATGGCACCTGTGTCAAGACCAGAATCTGGCTTTCTGTCTCCTGGTCTGGTGCTCTTCCTCCTCCTTACTTGGTCCTGAGATAAAAAATATTTTATGAAACCGCTTGATGGGAATGTGCTCACCCCAAAGAGTTTAGGGAAATCCATTCAGGTGCAAATAAGACTTACGGTAGGGCAACACTTTTCAATTAAATAATACATTGGCATGCACCACAATTTTGATTCTCATTCATTTTAATGAAATGCGGTCATTTACCAACAGCAAACTGGACAAAAGCAAAGGCTTGTGTCAGTGCTTACAAGTTCCTCCCCATGGAGCGGAGGATGAACTCCACTGCATTCTCAATGATCTCTGTGCCCAAGTTGTTTAGGAATGTTGGGAAGTCTGGCTTTGGTTTTTTGCCTGAGTCATCTGGCTGGTCATCTGGTTTGTCATCTGAAAAAAACAAAGAATCTCAGAGGTGATTCTCAGCAACAAGAAAGCAATGTATCTCTTCTTTGTAGGGAGCTCCTAGCACTTATTGTACCCCCACTAACTAACTTAGGAGTATCATCTACTTGCATTTATTCAGCATTTAATGCTTGCCCAGTGAAAATCACATGCCTGATATCACTTATTGCTAAAAACAATCAAACAGACCAACAGACATTGATTCTTTGGTAGATGTTGATTCCCTTCATGGATGAGAAGATTAAAGCTCGTGGAGATTAAGTAACTTGGTCAGAGTTAAGCAGTAGGTATATGCTGGTGCCAGGGTTGATATACAGAATGACTGGTTTCATTTCAGTTACTTGGTCTCTTCCTTCATGTAATCCCGGCCCGTGGTAATAATAATAATGAAGATAAAATAATGATAGGATTTGTTGACCACATAGCTATGATAGAAAATCAACATGCATTGTCTCATTTTATTCTCACAACAAACCTATGAGGTAGGCACAGTCATTATCCCGATTAAAGGTAAAGACATGGAATTGGAGGCAGGTTTCGATGCTGGTTCAAAGTCACAGTGTTAGTGTTCAAAACAGAATGCAGTCTCATGTCTGTCTGGTATTAAAATCTGGATTCCTAAGCACTCAGTGGTGAACCTCATAATCCTGGCAGAAAAGTTGTGATCTAACCACAAATGTGTTATACAATGGAAAATAATAATGATGAGGAGAAGAAACTCTATCACTTGTACATCATCTGATAGTTCTGAAAATAATGATTTTACAAAAGCTGTGTGATTTTACCCTTGATTGATCTTATGGGGTATGCATATTTTTGCTTATGGGACTAAGAAACTGAAAAGATTAGATGACTTGAAGAAGACTCACAAATAGCAAGAGAAGATGATACTATAACCAGGAGCCTCTCACTCGACTCTTAATCAAGTGCCCTTTTGAATGCAGCCAAGGATTCAGAGAGTGAGGTTGGAGGTTGGTGATGTGCAAATTCCCTTGGGGGCAGGTGGTTGGCTTCATTTAGTGGTCTGAATGATCCAGAGATTAGAAGGAATAAAAGAGGTTGAACTAGCAGCTTCATGTAGCCTCCCCACTGGACCCTGGTGCCAGGATGAAGTAGGATCTTTATCTTTTTGTTTTATTATAGCCTCACAGGTAGTACCGCCCAATGTGGAAATAAAAACACAGGATGCCCAATTAAAGCTGAATTTCAGATAAGCCATAGTTGTTAGCATAAAAATGACCCATGCACTATTTAGGACACACTAAATAGTTAGTCACTGTTTATCTGAAATGAAAATTTAACTGGGTGTCCTGTATTTTATCGGCAACCCCACCACACGTTTTGACTCCAGAAATCCCAACTTCTAGACAATGAACCCCGGCACTCTGAATGAAGAAGATGTAACTAATGTTTTTTGTGTGGAGGCTGTCAAATTATGTTAGAAGCCTTGTATCTACATTGTATCCTAAAACAGAAACTCTTCATAAAAAGATAAGGCTTCCGGTCTACAAGTGTTTATTGCTTACTATGCCACAATAAAAGATTTGATAGGAGCACCAGTCTGCGACATATAACCAGAATTAGTATATATCAATCACCAAGTATTCATTCATTCAGTTGTTGGATTTTTTTTTTTTTTATTTCTTGTTCACTAAAGATTTTTTTTTTAGCCTGCCATTATGTACATAGTATATGCTAAGAGTTAAGGTAAAAGTGGACATATATGGACATGACCCTCATGTGAAGTACAGGGTAGGCAAGCACAGTGACCTCAATAGCTTTGTTTTGATCACGGGAAGGGGAAGGAAAGAAAAGAACATGCGGTTTGTGATGCTCTGCCTGTTGTGTAGGTGCTGAGGTAGTGCTTTCGTAGTCTTACTCCTGATTCAGTTCAATGATTAGATATTACAGTTTTACGGGAGCAAAAACAAGACATGCAGAGAAATGAAATGACTCACCTAAAGTCACACATCTAGAAAGTGGCTGAGCCAGGCTTTGGCCTAATTTATTTTTAACTCCATAGACTTGTTACTTGTGTGATATAATACTGCCTTCAAGAAACTGAAGACATTTACCAGTTGCAAAACAGGGGTTTTCCTTGCATGAAAAGTGAATTCTTTTTTTTTTTTTTTTCTGTGTTCCTATCTGCCGACTTGCATAAGCAGACTTTTTATTTTAATATGACAAAAAGTGGTAGCTTTTCAACATGCAAACAGCCCTGGGTTGCAATATCAGATCCTTGGCCCCAGTCCTCGGACCATGTACATACTGAGAGGTACCAGGTCTGGTAGATCATGTGTTTTGAAGTCCTACATACCTGAGTTTGACTCATGTGCTAAAAAATTAGCCATGTAACCTTGCACCCAGCTCCTAACTACACTCTGTTTCTTCGTTGTGTTATTGTCAGGATTAAAAGATGTCCCTTATATCTTTCCTATATATCATATATGTATGTATAGATAGTGTATCATATATATATACCACTTATCATAGTGCCAGGCCCAAGGTAAGCCCACAATAAATGCCTGCTGTATTGTTACTACTATTACTAATAATAACAACAAAATTATTCATAGTAGCTTCTCCTCTAGTATTTTTGGAGATTGTGAAAATTAGAAAATGCTGTTAAAATATTTAAAAAATGGAAAATATTGGAAAACAAAACAAAAATAAATAATGATAATAATAATAATAAAGTTAAGAAATGTGACATACTAGAAACAAATGATCAAAGCCAATAGTTGAATATTTTCTCTTTTCAAATACAAAATAGCCCTTATTTACATTTACTACCTGGTTGAGTTTCTTAGTCAATGTAGTCATAAAGTTCTGAGAAAATAAGGTAACACTAATATTTGTACAGTTTTAATAATTTATGCATGATTATAAAAACATTTATTTGATCTGGTGACGTTTATTATAGTTATCCCATTTTACAGATGAATAAAACTGAGGTTCAAAGCAGTAAGTTGATTTAGCCAGTGTCAGAGTTCAAGAGAGACAGAGCTGGGGCTGGTCTTTAGGATATCCGTCTCACCTCTCGCTTTACCAGGGGGATTACCTCAGGAGTGGATGGACACAGTAGTCTCTGAGGCCATCTCTATGGTAATTCTGTTGGAGTGTCTGCCAGAGTGTTGTGCTGGTGGACACTGGGTGGCTGAGGATGTGAGTTCTACCAAGTTACATTTAGAACAATTTCAAGGGCACTATTTGCACTGTCTGTGTTTTCTGATTAATCATTCTGAATAGAGACAAGTCAAAGGCTCACCATCTTCTACAGACCAAAAATAAATTAATTAGTGAGTATTCTGCATGCTGCCTTGTGGTCCTCTATGTGCTTGAAACAGACATGAAATATATAGATGCTTAGTTATAATGGGAAGAACCGGGGGACTTAGTTTTAGTCCCAGGTGTTCCACTGCTATCTGTCTATGCTCAAGTAATTTTCTCTTTGCAAATGTGGTTCATTAACCTGCAGAAAGGGAAATGACAATACTGTGCATGCTAACATGAAAAAATTGTTAGGAGAAGGAAATGAAATACGACATGATAACAATACAGTTAAATATTGTTGCTTATTATGGACCAAATACTTTTTAAACTTACAACTCTTTTATGAAATTTTTATGATAAATGTATGAGAAAGTTAAGTACTGACATCTTATTTTACACATGAGGCCCAGCGAAGTTAATAAAATGCCTGAAGTCACATTTCCTATTAGTCATGCAATTAGGCCTAGGAGTCTTATTCCAGAATTTATACTTGTCACCTTTGAACATTATTAGTCATAGTCATCAAAAAATAAACACCCCAATTCTACTAATTTATAACATAATAGTGTCTCCATATCACATCAATATATAAGAAAGCTATCATTTCAAACTTCATCCATTCACTGAGGATACAGGCTGTAACTAAAGCACATTTGAATAAAAATCCTACTTTGGTTTTGTTAGAAGATTTGCCTCTGGTCTCCTAGTCCAGTGCCCAGAGGTCCCTCCCCCTCTCTGCCCTTTACATTCTGAGTCAGTGCCACCAACTTCCTTCAGTCTGTGGCTCCCTGCTGCACCCTGTGCAAGCTGCGACCGGAAGCACTTACGGGCATGGGAAGTCAGGATTAAAGCAAGCAATCCCAGGACCACTGTCGTCCGCAGCACTGAGACAGCCATGTTTGCAACGCTGGGTATTGGTGCAGATAAAGCGTTCCAGGGCACCAGTAGCTCCATTTATAAGCCATTTACAGATGATATCATCTGCTATGGAATTTAGCTTGTTGCACAAGATGTCTCCACAGCCTGCTCTTGGATCTAAGGAGCCCTGCCCTATATTTCAAACCTAAGGTTCTTCATATGGGGAAAGAACCTCTTGGTTTTTCTAATGTGCATTTATCAATGGCATTGCAATAACTCTTTTGGCGGTAGTCCCTATGCCAGCATTGACACTTAGATGTCTATCAGACAGAATTATTATTCAGTGCCAAGAAGCAAGTATTAAATCAGATTGGTGAGGTGTGCCTACTCCCAACATGCACATGCTGCTTCTATCCCTATGCTTTGAGTTAATTACTTGTCTGCACATGGACATGTCCATTCATACTCCCATGCCCCTCCCCCCCGTGCCTTTGTTCATACTCTTTGTTTTTCCTGGGATATCTTCCCCATCATCCTTCGAGTAGTCCTACTATTTGTCAGACTCACATTCAAATGTCCTGCTTCTCTGTGAACCTTTATGATGACCCTTCCACCCTACTCCATAAAGTTAGTTGCTCTATCATCTGTCATATAGAACCCTTGGACTATTGTCTGATAACAAAGTACTCTAAACTCTCTTCTCTTTTGGCCTATGGATCTCTTAAGGCCAGAATGTTTTAGTCACTCCTGAATAATTCTGAAGGAGCCTAATATGGTGGTTGGCATTGGCCTCAGCTTTGACTTCCTTGGGAAGCTTGTTATGGTTTTTCCAAAAAGAATTAGGTGTTTTGCTCTGGTGCCTAACAGGTGCTGATTACATGTCTCCACCAACGGGCTGTAGGATCCTGAAAGGCAAGACTATCTTTTTCAGAGTTGAATGCACATTACTCGAGGCATATAGCAAAAATTCAAGAAATAATAATAATAATAATAAAAGTATTGTATACAGCCAAAAGAAACGATGGGTTTGAGATGCTGCTAAGTATTTCAGATGTAAAATACCCCCTTTTTTTTTTTTTTTTTTTTTTTTTTTTGGCTATAAACACTCAAGGCGATACACTTTGTTTGAATCCAGATGATACTGGTCATCCTGAGGAATGCTGTAAGTTCAGTTAATTGTGATGAGGTCCTGGGGGTTTCTAAACTTACGGTTTGACCCAAACCTGTACATTGTGACGATCAGAGGACCCTTTCAATGAATGGTGAAAATAACTGTGGTCTGGGAAAAGGAGGCTTGTCTAGTGTCACAGAGCCAAGGCTGGGAGATGCCCTCCTTCTCCCAGCCAAACGCTTTACATGGCACCAAACTGCACCTGAAAGCCATCAAGCAGCTCTGCTTGGATCCTTCCAGGTCTCTTCATTTTATCTTCTTAAGAAGACTCTGATTCTCTCTCCTAAAGAGTTGTGATCTGGAGATAGTGGTTCACGGTAGGAAGTTTTCAGTGAGTTAGAGTGATGCCATCGGAGTCACTGCTTAGACGTAAGCACTGCGCATGTCCGGGGAGCTGGTAGAGAAACTGCTTAGAAGTGAGCACTGCGCATGTTCGGGAAGCTAGTGGAGAAATAACATTCACGTGTCCTCTATTAGCCATGGACCCTGACCTGTGGCTTTACTTACCTGGGAAAGGGTACCTCTTAACTTTGTACAACCTTTGAGCCCTCAGGGTTTAACCGACCTACTTGGGGCATATTTTTCTAACTCATTGTTAAGAACACTGTACAGGCAAGCAAAAGCTCTGGATATTGCAAACTAGGAGAGAGGCCTGCTGACTTCTCGAGGATCTCAGCTGAAAGGGGCATGCAGACAAGTCCTGAATCAGGCGCTTTAGGTGGTCTGGTGTCAAGGAAACAGCACCATCCCGAGGGTAAGCTAGCTGGCTTCCATTCCTGTCAGCACTGCGGCTCACTGTGGGGACTGATTCAATACCGTTTACTCCGCCGTTCTCTTCTCGACCCTTGGTTTATCATTCTTAGGTTTAGATTTCAGCTAAAATGTTTCTCTTTTTGGTGAAAACTTCTGTTACCCACTAATCCAGCTCAGATCCCTCTGTTAGAGTCCTTTATATACTCTGTCTTCTTCCTTATTGATACTTGCAGATTATTTTTTGTTTGTTTATTAAATGTCTCTCTTCTCAAGAGATGTCAAAATCCAGGATGGAAGGGTTCTGGTGGTGGTGTTCATGGAGATAGCTCTTATTTTGAGGGATAGCCCCCCCCCCCTCAAATACCCAACAAATACATACTGAATGGGTGACTTAATGAATAATTTTGAGAAGAGAAGCCTGGGCTCATGGAATAGTTCTATCAGTTATTATCTGTGTGACTCTGGCAAATGATTGGTACCACTCTAAGTCTCAGTTTCCTCATGTATAAAATTGGGACATATTATAATTTTCTGCCTACTTATGTGCACTATTTAAGGATACAGGAGGCAATAGACAAACTGTAAATAGCCTTTAATGTATGCTACATTAATAGAAGTTAAGAAGCTGTGAGTTATCCTCTGTTGGCATAAGCAAGTGAATTTGATTTAAAGTAGAGGAGAAACTAGATTAAGAAAGATGATTTTACCCACGCTGGGGAGAGGAAGTGAGGACCTTCTTCCAGAAGGCCATTTGAGTTTGGTAAGAGGAGATGAGACTGAAAGGAATATGGAATGCTTTAATTCCCATGGAAATTTCCATGCATAACTGAAAACCATCAGAGTTCTTTCCTGGGGTAGGAAAGGATTACAATCTGGGTTGGAAATCGATTAGAGAGGTTTGGAAGTGTGTGTCATGGTTAAAACCTGGGCATGGGGATCAGACAGCACTATGACAACCCTGTGACAGAGGGCAGGCTGACAGCTCTGGCTGGGGGCCTGGGCGGAGGGGTGGAGGGATTGAGCGAAAAGAAAAAAATAGAAACATTTCTGGATATGGACAACAGTGTGTTGATTCAAGGGGGAGGTAGAGGAGGGTATGGGGGGATAAATGATAATGGACGGAGACTTAACTTGGGGTGGGTGTTGAACACACGATACAGTGTACAGATGATGTGTTGTAGAATTGTGCACCTGAAACCTGTATAATTGTATTAACTAGTGTCACCCCAATTAATGCAGTAAAAGGAATAAAAGAAAAAAGAACTGGGTTTGAGTTTTAGTTTGGCCACTTGTACATTGTGTGACCCTGAGACCTTAGAAATATTTTCTCATTTCCTTACATGTTGGATCCAACGTCTACAACATAGGAATGATGCTCTCTCAGAGCTGCTATGAGTATTGGTTCTGAAAATGCATGCAAACTGTTAGCACAGTGTCTTGTACATACTAAGTAAAAAATGAATGCTAGACTTACCCTGTCCTGTCCTGTCCTGTCTTGTTCTACCTTGGGTTGTCCCAGAGGAGGGAGTGACAGCCGTGCAAGCAGGTTTAGAGCTAGTAATAATAACAACAATGAATAATAAGAGGCGAATGTGGTTAATTATGGCCAGTATCAAACTCGATGCAACATATCAACAAAGCTGTTACAATTATCCTAATTTTATATAAGGAGATTTAAGCTTGGAGAAGTTACATAATTTCTCCTGGGTTACAAATCCTCTATAAACTGGGGCAGGGAATCGAATTTAAGAACATGTGATTTTCAAGTCTGTGCTCTTAACCATCGTGTGATGTTGTGTGGGCATGAACTCGGTGCAGATACTGGCAGAAAGCCTGGGTCACACAAAGAACCCTGCACTCAGGCCAGTTTGTCCAAGGATTCTGTGTGTCCTCTACTTTTCCTGTTAGTCTCTGGGTTTCCCCCTGATCTCTGAATGAAGGTCTGGCCCACATCATTCAGCTTGACTTCATGTATCCAATGTGCAGGGACAGAGTGCCTTCACTTCTTCCTTGGCAGAAAGTGAGCTAAAGAGAGGGCTGCAGAATACAGCACTCGGTGCTCAGTTAAATTTGAATTTCAGATAAACAGTAAGTAATTATTTCAGTAAAAGTATGTCCCCAATATTTCACAGGACATACTTGTAGTTAAAAAAAAAAAAAAAAAAGATTTGTTGTTTAGCTGAAATTGAAATGTAACTGGGCAGCCTGTACTTTTATTTGCTGAATCGGGTAACCCTACCTGGAGAGGACTTCAGGAGTGTTTTCATACATTAAACCTCAGATAAGGAGTGAAGGACAGGGTTGAGGGGGTCAAATAAATGATTGAAAGGTTGTGTGTGAAAAGTTAGAATCATATATGGAAAGTGGAAGTTATTGAAGGTCCCAAGTTTATCTTTAACATTATATCCGGGGCATGTTTTGTTCTGCCTATATTTCTCATGAGAAAATCAGTAGCCTCTCTCTTGTTCTTGGTTTACTCTAGCTGAGGTTACAAACCAGCCCTGGAAGGGTGCCTGTGGCTTCATGAAGGCCTCCTGTTTCCATGGTGTCCATGTGCTGAGGAGGGGCCAAGTCTTTGTGCCCCAATCACCTTTCTACGTGTAGCTTATAACTTAGTCTCATGTCACCAATCAGTTTATGAATTTCTTATTCAGTGAGCATCGAACTGAACTTGCCCTGACAGCAATACACAGATGACATATTATAGAATTGCACCCCCGGAACCCGAGTCATTTTATTAACCAACGTCACTCCAATACATTCAATTAAAAATAATAATAAAATTAAAAAAAAAAAAGACAAACTAGCAGACCCTGACCTCACCTCTGTCGAGGGTGCAAACATGCAACCGAATAATTGCAATTAAATATGAGAAATGCTAATGGAGTTAATGAACAGATTCCTTTGGGAGACAATTAGGGAATGGTTAGCATTGCCTGGGCAGGCAGTCATGGAGGGTTCATTGGTTTGGGGCTTTGAGAAGTGGGTGAGCAGGTGTTCACTACGCAAGCCAGGCGTGGAGAGCACACTGTGGGAGGAGCACAGCGTCCTGCTGCGACTGAGCCCTCAGCGTCTTGGATGTTGCTATTAGAAAGATTGAAGTGAGCTAACTGAA